TCTGTCTACAGAATATTCTGTTTCATAAATCTTCACTGTTGAAATAACTTGTAGTCATTGGCAACCATGTTGTTCAGTATTGAAATAAATGTAACAAAGTAAAAAGAAACGTGAATAGAAGAGAAAATCAGGAAAAAGCGTATCATACATTTCGTAGAGCTTTTCATGGTGACTTGGTTGTATCACATGTTAACATTCAAACTAGCACAACCAGTTTGCTTTTATTAACCTACTTACAACTATAAATTATTAGAAATAGTAGGTCGGACTATTTTAAATGTTGCTTTTGTTTTAACTATTTTCATTCAATCAAATCAACACATTTAACTTACAATGATGTAAATAAATGAGAAATTTCTTTTATAAAAACGAACAATGGTAAATTATGATCTAAATTATATGGCTTTTATGGTTCCCTATCTGATTAGCTATTATTATTTGTTCACTTTCTATATAAACTGATTACCTAAAATGAATCAATGCTACTCGCATGTAGTAGTCTAGTGAATTGAATTTACACATTCTTTTTATCCAAGCATCTTATAACATTGCTTTATATTACGTAACAAATATTCGGTTTCAGTTACATAAGATCATATTAATTATTATATTATTGACAAAAGAATTCAGATTTCAATATCAATAGAAGCTTAGTTGTAATTCAAATATCAGTAAAACAAGAATCCCTCAATTCATACAAATTTCTACTGTAACATAAACTCATAAGCTTTATTAGACATATGTATTATATAAATGACAGAAAAGGTGAGAAATCGTCATTAAAGGTATATACTTTTGTTTTTAACAAATTCATGATGACTGTTACAGGCAGTTTATACATCTTTATCAGAAATATATTAAGTATATTTCAACACAGAATATATATTAATCATATAAAGTATCAAAGAAACAGATAACTTGATAAGATTCATAAAAAAATGGATGATTTCAATGAAAGTGAAAACATTCACAAATCTACTATATAAACGAGTATAATTGAAAACATGGACAAATTCAAAGCAGTAATAGTTTGAATTAAATGAAAATATTTCTTCATGGTCATCAGTGGTTTTATTTCTGGTTATCCATAATGATGAAGTTCGAGTGAACAAGTTATACAATACTGACACTGTGATAGAATTGTTTCAAGATAATCTATTTGACTAATTTTAAAAAAATTCCTAAATTCGCACTGTGTACTTATAAAAATGTAATTGTCAATATCTGAAAACAGATTTTCATTTTGATAATGAGGTGTAAGTGATTCAGTATTACACATGTGTAGCGTGGCGTCTAGTCGCGGTTGACTATGATCATCACTACAGGAAGACTATGTGCCAGTTAACGGATAAGATTCCCCGTAAGCCAAATATCAGAAGGCAGTTGATGGCTGTAGTCGAGATGTATTCGTTGGCGATCTCGTGGTATCGAAAGAATACCGAGATCGTGCCAAAGGAGTACACGTGTGGTTACTGAGCGTAACCGAATTCGTGCAAGGTCACGATCAAAGGAAGGAACGATGTCTTTAGTACAGGTAAACAAACATGTACAGTAAAACAATCACTGGTACAATTGGTTATAATAATGATTGTTTCCATTAAACCAATGTAACTCAACATGTTCAGTAACATTGTTTTTCTGTGTCTAATCAACTCACCTAAATCCTACTTACAGTGTTCTTACTAATCAATAGGAAATCAGAGGTCACACCTGAGATTTTTTATTGATGATAGTTTTTAGGGAACAAATCTTAAATATTTCCACTCGTATAGAATTAATAAAACAGCGCACATATATCCAGATCATTTCAATTTCATAATATTCCATTTCATATAAGGTATAAAATTTATGGACATTTTGTTAATGAATACATTCAGCATTATAATATACCATTAGAAATAATACGTGAATAAGGACGACCATAGTGATGATAATACTTCACAAATAAAGTCGATAGCATGTCAAAAGAAACTATTTGAATGAAAAAGTAATTTATAAAAATAGATGAATTGGTAATACAGAAAGTAACAACAATAATAATTTATTATTATTGTTGTTGGTAGCACCACAAATATAAACAGATCTACGGCAAATATCATAACGGTAAAACTGGATGTCGTGCGTAAATGAGCAAGTGAAAATTAGAACATGACAATGCAGTGAAGATATGACGATGAAAATAGTGATATCGATTGATGATATATATATATATATATATATATATATATATATATATATATAAGCTTGGCAAAACAAGCCCCAGCATCAATATTAAAACCCACTTTGTCGTAGTAAAGGAGCTGTAATGAATGTTGTCCATTTATTTTACAGTGATTAGAACTGAGTAAATAGAAACCTAGAATTACTATTCCTTAATAATTAACGACATCGCTGAACATAAAATTCACATGAAACTCGCAGTAATCATCAATTGGTCCGAACAGACAATCGTTGCTAGATATTATAAAGAATTTACTTGAATAAACTGACAAATAGTTACCAGAGATGAGTGATTTGGGTAGTTAAATGTATATAAAATGAGTCATTTATTTGTGAACTTATTATTCAGACAGCCGGTTTCTTCAGTTCATGTACTGAGAACTGATTTTCATGTTGTTCTTATAAAAGTATTAAGTCATGTGCACGCAAAATAAGCATCATTATCTCTTAAGAACTCTGTATAGCTTCCGAAAAATAAAACCAATTCATTCTAATTTCAGTTATATAAGGTCAGCTATGAAGACGTGTTTAAATCCTTAATGCAGACATTGCATTCTGTCATTTAATCAAACGAGGAATCAAAGGTCAAATTCGATTATAGAAGAGTACATGAAATGAGTACTTAATGTATCATGACATCGAATAACTAGTAACCTGAAACGATATATATTTTGTTAAAATAAACCACCAAGATTATTTTATCAGTATATGGTTTCGGAGATTGTTGAGTTTTGATTGAAATCATGAATGGATCAATGTTAGACCACTATTGAAAACCTAGAAGTACTGGATGGCCGTTTCGTCCTAGTACGAGACTCCTCGGCAGTGCAATGGTTGTCTAACATTGGTCCATTTAGGATCTCAAACAAAATTATTTCATGTTTATAATACAGAGGAAATCAATTAACTGAATTGAATTGAAACTACAACAGATCGTCAATGCACTTGATTTTGACTTTTGTGATGGATTTGCGAATGTCGAGTGAGAAGTTTATAAATGATAAAATCTCAAAACTTGGTCTTAGTGACTGTTTACTTTTTCATAGTTTATATTAGTTTTTCAGCTAACTTTATTTAATGATACGAGCAATCCTTAAGTTGATAGATTTCTCATACACATTTGAGCGAAACAATTTATGTGATCCAAGTTCACAAGCAAAAGTATAAAAGTTCTATAATACCTTGCCTGGCAAATATACTCTGTGACGAACAGATTGTTAGAGTTAACCTAGTCAATAATAACCTGCATTCTTAACATGTCTCTAATTTGAAAAGTTGTACAGTTTTTCTTTTTCTCCTTCTTTTGACTAGTTTTTCTGTTTCTTTTTTGTATAAGAAACTTGTTGAAATACCCTGTGCCGAGAATTCCACATTGTACCAAAATATAATATTGAATAAAGCCATTAATTATTAATAATAATTAGTATTATAGTTTGTTTCACCAAAATCTACATAAAAAGATATTGATCAATGAAGCTCAAAATAACTATCTACAGTGCCTGCGAGATCAATGGGTTGAAGCACGGTATTATGCTGAATCAATTGATTAGAATAGCCATACTAGACGTAGCTAGGAATGATAGAGAAGGCATACGAGTAAAAAGACTTTGTACAACAATATCAATAAAAGGTCATAGCTGATGAAACAAGCTACTGGCTTGGTATGTAAAACACTATATTCTTACGGTTGTCCACATATTCCACTGCTCTAACAAGGTATATTGTAAACTGATCACAACTTGGTTAATTTCAACACGTTTTCCAGATGGGAAATAATTAATTATACTTAGCCCTCAAGTTGGCATTCGGCTAAATGTCCTAAGCTGGCAAAGAGAAGAGAATCACTTTTAAACCAACAGTCCACAAGGGCTTTATAAAATAAAAACAATAATATGACTCTAAATCTACCTTAATCACCACCTACTATAGAAAGGAAATTTTCACCGTATCCTTGCTGCCTCGTAAATCTGACTCATAGGCTAGCATTATTGACATTACTTTTTAGGAAAACAATCCGCTTTGTTCTGGAAGTCGAAACGTCAAGTCGACCCTCAAGCAAAATCCAAAAGTCCTCAACTAGATATAAAATACCAGTTCTATAAACACTTGTTGGCATATTGTATTTGCTTGTATACATTCATTCTACTTAGATGTAATATATTTTGAAAATCTCCACAGAATCCGTAGTCATTTACAGACATGATCAGGTTGATTCGGAAAATCATGTTACATGTGGTGGATGGATATTTAATGTTAAATTATTTGAGATGTTGTTTATAAATTGTTTTCGGAGGGTATTTCTTACAATGTTAATAATGCTGTGAGGCATCATCTGGAAGCAATAAACTATTTGCTGAAGGACTGTGGTATTGTGTTAAAGCATAAATATTAGCTTATATTTGTGACCTCAAGAACTAGCTTGTTTCTATGGCATAGTGACTTATATAAACAATTCTGAACCAATGACTAGTTGCTCTCTTACAACAGTTACTAGATGCAGAAAATTTAAGCAGAGCAATCAACAACACAGCAGATAAAACCATATTCCCACAAATTCATCTAACCATCATATAAACCGTTGAAGGTCTGGACAGCCGTTTCGCCCTAGCATGCGATTCCTCATCAATGCGCACCCACTACTCCCTATCTGGAAATTGAACTCAGGACATTCGGCCTCCTAGACCACTGAGATGGCATCCAACGTAACACATGTTTATCCAATCTTCTGGAGTGTATATATCAATTTTATTTATGGAAATAATGATGAGTTTGAAATGTTATTAGAAAGTAGTGAAACAGTAGAAACTCTTACGTAAACGTCCAGCAAGACCACTAAATAAAATTGATGCAGCATTCGTAAGTATATCGTTACGTTGATCGGTTTTAAGCGCATCGATAGCCATTCCACCACCAAATTTAAAACAAATGATCCATAAGATTAGTTTAGTCACTATAAATGATAATAAATGTGAAAAGGGCCAGTAAATTTATCATTCAATCAGTTTATCAAGTAATATAGCAAAGAGATAGACTAACTTTATCAATTATTTTTCCAGAGAAATATAACTCTAAATTTCAAGTAATATAGGCATGGAGTTGAGGATTATTGTACTTTTTGGTGGTTTTTTTCTCTGAGCTGGATGGTTTGGTCGTGGAGCTTTCATCGTTCTTCTGAACGACATCATCAGCACAAACTTCAGATAGAAGTGAAGTGTTCGAATTTCCCCATATGTGTTTCACAGCATGTTCTGTGCACCTCGATGTTGATTGGTTCTTATTGACATTAAATTTGTCATTGTTCACTTCTTTGTTTTGGTTGTGTCTCCCATTGTCTTGATTTTTGTTCTTATATTTATGCATGATTTTCCTGATTGGTTGATAATGCTGGAATTCTTCGCAGCAATCTGAAGTTTGTGCTGATGATGTCGTTCAGAAGAACGATGAAAGCTCCACGACCAAACCATCCAGCTCAGAGAACAAAATTTCACCAATACCATCCACCTGAGCTACAAATCTTCTCCATCATCTCAAAATTATTGAACTTTTTATAAACTGGAGGATAGTATCAATCTTAAGGTAAGCAGTATGTAGTTAAAACGTCAGTAGGTGATTAACTGATTCGTCAGTGATTACTAGTTGTCTACAATAAAATGTAGGAGAAATCCAGCCAGTCTACTGCAATCATTTAAGAATTTGAGCGATATATACACCCGTTTCAAAAGGTCATGAACTTATGTATAACCATCGTTCTGTCCTATTTTCTTCCCTTAATATCTGTTCATACGCACACGTTGACCATCCATAATTACTTTTGATTCCTGATTATTTGAATGTTTTGTAAGCTATATATAAATATATATAGTTTTCTGAAGTATAAAAAGAGTATGTAACAGATCAAAGTAAAAATAGATTACTGATAAAAGATAATTGTTAACTTGAAGAATATAAAAAAATTGTAAACATTCGGTAGTATTGAGTGATAAATTGTTGATGAACATTAAATACAAAAGTGAAGTTGTGCAACGATGTAACGGCTAATGAAAAATGTTAACATAAGAATATTTTATTGGAGAGAGATGACTATACATTTGATGAATATGAAAAACAGAATAATTACATTTGATAATAGCTCATTAGTAGTTCGGAATAGTCCCTTTCATAACCAACCAGAGTAATGCTCGAAAATGAAATTATAAAGAGCTCTCTTTGTGTACGAAGTATACTAATATAATTTACTGATGAACTACAAATATGATTACACAGCTTCAGTCAGTAATATCGCCACAAAACAGAGTTACTTTGATACATTGGCTATATTTATTCTTCAATGACACAGTGGAAATTCATTGCATTTCATGTATTTTAAATATTTCGCATAGCCACTAACTTTTATAGACAAAGTGTTTTATGAATGTGATTTTGTGCACAATGTTCATAAAATAGTATAGTTTAACACAGAAAACTAACTACAATATTTTGTAAATTCGTATAAGCTCAATCGATAGAGGAATAGTGTATATGACCACAAGTAACAAATGGGAATTATTATTAGTGGGGAAGAAAACATGATATGATATAGTGACTTCAAAAAATAGTTAATTAATCCGTATAATAGTGATAATACTAACAGTACGTGATTGAGTAAAAAGAAGTACTGCTTTTGTTTATGTAGAAATCTGTCGTTGTACCGAGTATTTATTACTTCAAATGTTGTACTGAGATTTACTACACGTTACATTTTATTGCGATATCTCTCTGTGTTACTACTGGGAATTCTGGGATTATTTGCCATCAAATTACTTGTTGTGTGTCAACAGAAGCTCTCAGTGAAGACCCTCTATACTCTTGCAACATGGATGCTTCTGCCATTACAAATTAACAGGTAAATATGACAAAAGAGACTTAGTGGGTACGTTCAACTCTCTGATTATATCTTTTGTGCTATATAAGACAATTAAATTGACAATAGGTAAAGTGAATGAAATATTGGCTACTAATCAACAGGTATTTTGTGGGTCTAGGTCACAGCTTTTCAAATGAAGTTTGAAAACACAATTTATGAACATTAAATATAATTCTTACCAATTACGGATGCCATTATTCCCAATGCCAAATCATTAACGTTTGGTGCCTCTTGATTATTTTGTGACATACGAACAATGGCTTGTACAGATTCAGCTACAAGTTGTATAGATATACTACCCATAAATACAGAGAGTACAATCACCGCTAATGGTTCAAGTCGTGTTCTCCCTAAGAAGGAAATAAAATAACAGCATTTTAGAGACCTTATTTCTCTTTCACTTTCAGATGATTTTCAAAAACCCAACATTAGAATAAAAATGATTGATAAATATTTCAGTAAATTTAATAATTGTAAAGCATAAATAATAAGTATCTTAGAAATGTACACTAAGATCTTAAGTAATTAATACAATCATCTGGTTTAACAACACGGCTAAATGATGATGATAATTCACTTTCAACCATTGAAGAGCTCATGCGATTACATACTTAAGACTGGCAATTTAGCCACATAATTTAATAATTTATGGATTGCATAACTCGAAAACTTTATTGCAAAGGGTCACGTATATTGATGTACAGTTTGTGCTCAACCACACCTAGAATGCTGCACGCTTACTTTTAGTAGTGTGTGAATAAAGTATAAATTAAGGTTAGAATCACTATAGAGATGATTTACACTTCGGATTGTTGGAATTGATTGCACTATGAATTATAATTCCAGGTGTAATAAACTTGTGCTCGACCCTTATTGAAGAGAATTCTCAAACTAGATTTTGTCTTTCTCTTTAAGATGCTTAATAAACTATCCTTTACATCCAGTTAAGTAATTTAATGTGCAGAAATTTCTATTTACGACATCAGTAACTCCTTGTCACTAGTGGAATAAACCAATTGTAAACCACCTCTCTATATGGATTGCTTTACCTGTAAATTTTCTAAAATCTTGAATGATCCACCACAATCTATCTGTAAGATAAAATCACTCTCACCCTTTGTTCGCTGCATGGATGCATACTGCTCCTTTGAAAATGCACTAAATGTTCTAGCACCTGTAAGTGTATCTTAATCCACAAGTCAGATTACAGGAACTTTAAACACTTAACCATTCTTGTTACTGAATTCATCAAGTAAAGCCACCTACATGCTGTCGCTTTACGTTAACACTGTCCCAGTAATCGTGAATAATTTGAACAATATCTGACGTGAACAGTATATCATTGAGTCATATGACACATGAATTATAGTAGACATGACTGACACATTTTAGTAATTATTGCTTTGTTGTTTCGTGCTCTCTGTTTCCATTTCAAATTCTATCGTTGCAGAAGATTACGACTGATTCGTTATGGCACAGGAACCGACCTTAAATGCGCTGTTCATAAATCAACGGGATGTCCACTTAATAAAAATCAAAACTTACCGGCCGATGCATTGCATTGCTGCAATACATAACATAAAGGTACTATCTAGACAATTTTTAAACTAGTAAACTTAAAACAATCTTATGCCACATGTTTGTTCTCTACATTTAGTGACACAATTTAAATCAAGCTGATCATGCCTGTAAACTGGTGTAAATTCTGCAAATAATATTGCCAGAATATATACATAAATTGATATATGCATATATCAGTTTCTTCCTGTTGATTGGGTGTCAATTAGGTTACATGGATTTTAGGTTTTCTCACGTTTACGTAGTATATCGCTGCAATAAAATCATAAAACCAACTCAAGTAATATTGAAAAGAGCAAAAATAAAGATTCTAGCAGAATAGCATGAATTCATTTTATTTCGTAGGTTCTCGTCAGCTGCTTACAACCTGTGATATTTAAAATCATAATTACATAATGGGTTTAAATTGCTTACATGAGAGGATTTGTTTGGAAGTTATATTGAAGACATATTCGTAAAGTATATCATGGGTGTAAATGAAATTGATAGACTGAATATTGTAAATATATACCTAATGTGAAAGAATATTCTACAGCATTAATTGTGAAAACAGTTCAAAAGAGGGTTAGAAACAATTGATTACGTAATGAATAGACATTGATAGGAATATAGTGGGTAGAATTCAGTTGAAAGATTATTAATTTGAAAGATAGTTGAAAAATAAAACCAATGATGTAAAAAGTACAAAAGAAAAATAAATTTAAGCTGCAGCGAAAGAATATTTGTCACCAAGGTGTGGAGATAGACTTGATAAACCTATTTTGTAAATAGTTTTTCATATCTTTTGCATTTATTTTGCCAATTTCCACAGTCTGTGCATTTATCATTAATCGATTGCACTTGTTGTTTGAGTATAAGACCTTGAATACTTACATTCTTCCTTCCGTTTTTGAATCTCACATAGCATGACATTGTTAACTGCTCATAAGTAAATACACTTTTATACATACGTCTCTCGTTCTATCATGTTTGTGGATATGATGACGGAACGATTAATTAACTATCATGTATATTTATAGACTTGTAACATTCACATTACCTTCTACGTTCGGATATACTACTGGAGCCATATCGTCTCTTTGGAATTATTATTTACCTATAATTGTGGGTTCTGGTACCAAAACCAACAAGACACGCGCCAACCTGCTGATTTAAGTAACGTCCCTAAACTTTTATTTGTGTTATTATCTTATGCGTTGTTTATTGCTACATTAACTTTTGGACGTAGTAACTTTATTGCTGTTTTTCGGTTAATATACGTTTTAGTCCATCTCAAAGCCAAAGAAAGATTAACAACCGTCTCCTTTCGAGCACATAGGTCAGGTTTTTGACGCCTGACGGCAACGGCTTCAGCAAACTTCAGAAAACTGGAGTTTGGCTGCTTACCAATCACCCTAAAGGATTGTAAGGTATCTACCTGATGTCCTGTATCAAGGAGATGTTTAGTGATTGCACTATTCAGAGTCTTTGTTTCCCTTGTTCTAAGACTTTTTGGAACATGTTCAAAGAATCTCAGATATGCTCTCCTTTCAGTTCGACCGATGTAGCTGCTTTAGCAGGTACACGTAAATTTATAAATACAGTTGGCGGTAACATGAAAGGGGTGCTTGTCGACCTTTGATTGAGTTATTGAACATGTTGTTTTATAGAGAATTTAAAGTTTAGCAGCCGGATAAGTTCTGGCTAGCGCAGTATTCAGTCTCTTTTTGATTATTTGTGCGACGTTATCACCTTTAAAGTTAAGATCCATATATACTGGGATTTTATTGACCGTAGTTATTTCCGTCTTGTTTTCTTTGGGCTTTTTATATTTGTCAATAAACGTTTGTAAATAAAAGTTGTCTTTTAGACATTTTTCTACGTTCATTAATTCTTCTTCCAGTTTGTCGGTGGTACATATCTTTTCTACCCTGTAAAATAGTGTTTTAACCAATGCCTTCTTGTAACTAGTTGGACAAAAACTATTGAAATTCAGGTAAAGGCCATTCCAATTACTTTTTCTATAAACTGAGCGTTGGACTGTCCCGTCTCCCCCGCGTTTTATGGCAACATCAAGAAAGTGGAACATTTCGTTCTGTACGCGTTCCATAGTAAAGTGCATGTTAGTATGAGCGTCATCGAAAAGTCTTAGCAGGCAGATTGCATGTTGTTTATTGTTACAGATAATATGTCGTCCACATATCTGGAGTATTCCGTTGTTTCACTAATTGCCTGTTTAAGTACCGTGTTTTCAAGATGCCCCATAAAAATATCTGCCATAATTGGACCTAGTGGGCTTCCCATTGCTACGCCATCGATTTGGCGATATATGGTGTTATTGAACTGGAATTGAACATCCGTTGTGCACAATAGTAGTAGTTTTTTTAATTCTGGGGCTGATAAAGGTAGGAGATCATCATTCTGACAGAATATATCAATAGTTTCAAAAAGTGGTATATTGGTGAGCAATGATGTTACATCAAAAGAGACCGTGAACTCGTCGGTAACATTCGTATGATTTAGTCTATCGGCAAACTGGAATGAATCTCTTAGAGTATATGTTGCTAACCTACGACGAGCCGGTTCTAGTTTTACGGCTAACCAGCGTGCAACTTCATGATACGGTGAGTTGATCATTGATAGGATAGGTCTAAGGGGAACGTCATGTTTGTGGACTTTTGGTAAACCATAGACATGAGGTAGACGTGAACCATGTGGTCTTAGATCGTTGTAAGTAGAATTATCAATCATTTTCTTTTTGAGAATTTCTCTAAGCATGCCTGTGATTCGTTTTTCTGTTGAATCAGTCAAATCCTTTTGGATTTATCTGCCTTGAACCTCAGTTGATCGTCTACGATTGACTTCATCTTAGTGACATGATCAGCTGTATTCATTAGGACGACACCTGAACATTTATCCGGTTGTAAAATCATCACCTCATTATTTTGCTTGGTGTTTCTTAGGATTGTTAAATGTATGTATTTACAATATTCAGTCTATCAATTTCATTTACACCCATGATATACTTTACGAATATGTCTTCAATATAACTTCCAAACAAATCCTCTCATGTAAGCAATTTAAACCCATTATGTAATTATGATTTTAAATATCACAGGTTGTAAGCAGCTGACGAGAACCTACGAAATAAAATGAATTCATGCTATTCTGCTAGAAACTTTATTCTTGCTCTTTTCACAATGGTAAAGGGAACTATGTGTATCAAATAATATTAACGAACCTTCTCCTGTTTTCCGGTCTACAATTTTGGTTCGTAACTTGATCTCGGAAACCAACTGCTTTACAGAACCTCACAGCTTTGTATAAAATTCATGATATGCTCTTTGCATCAGCCTTCTACGAAATAGCCACGTCGTTCAAACTTTCTCAACCTTAGTTACATCGGTGGCTACTATACGCTTTGTATTTGCTACTATCTCACACAGTTAATCATGGCTCGACTTCCTTATTACACGGAAGTTATTTCAATTCCGTTTCCAGTTCATCTATATGCAATAAGGGTTTGGAAAATATCTAAACGACCTCCAAAGTTCTCCACGAACCACATCATAGTTTTATTATATGTTTATTTTTACATATCCCTTCGTAACGCTAATAATACCCAAAAGAACGTTCAGTACAAATATCAGTATACGTAAGGACAATGGTACTTCGATGTGACATTATAACACATCCGAGCTATTGTAGTTATTCAACTTCGTTACTATTTGCATGTTTAACTGATT